CGCAACACCATGGAAATAAACAAGCCATCTACACACAGTTCAAGCATCCCCACAATTCGGCGGTATATTTTCAAAAGCGACACCATGCCTCTGCGATGGCGGAAGGGCACAAAGCTGCCACCAAAGCATCAAGCAGCTGACCCTTGGCGCGCTGCTGTCCAGTGGTGGGATCCCTCAGGGGAACATCCAAGCCAGCTGCAAAGGAGCGAAGCTGGCCCCGCGGCATTGAGCTTTCCAGCTCGGACCGCAGCCATTCCTCGCCACGCGCAACTGCTTCAGCCCGTAAATGCTCTGCGTCAGGAAGGCCATCCCCAGAACTCGCAGCAGCTGTGGAAGACGAAGTTGCCTGCGCTCTTACAACATAGTTCTTACACACGCACAAAGAGCAAGGCGACCAGCTTCTTACATTCAGGGAAACACTGTTGACAAAAACATTCTTTCGAGCAATCCTCTGTTCGTGCGAACACTGTTGACAAGAAACAAGTGCTTTGGAAAACCATGCCTCTGCGCTGGAAGGAGGACACAGAGATTCGACCAAGACAGCAAGCAGCTGGCCCTTGGTGCGCTGCTGGCCAGACGTGGGGTCCCTCTGCGAAACGCCTAGGCCGGCTCCAAAGGAGCGAAGCCTTGCCGCCGTCATGGAGCCATCCAGCTCGGCCCGGAGCCAGTCAGAACCTCGTGCTTCTGCTTCGGCTCGCAAGTGCTGTGCATCGGGAAGACCATGCCCAGAACTCGCTACAGCTGTCGAAGACGAAGTGGCCTGCGCTCTTATCACATAGTTCTTGAACACGCACAAAAGAGTAAGGCGACCAGCCTCTTACATTCAGGGAAACACTGTTGACAAAAACATTCTTTCGAGCAAGCCCTCCTCTGTCCGCTACGCGCGCTGAAAGACACGCTCCGGTATCTCAAGGCTTGTCGTGAACAAGTTGCGCATTGAGGGTGCCAAAAGAGCTAAGCAATAAAACCAAACTTGTGGGGTCTACTTGTAGCTGCGAAACCAGGCCTCTGCGTCAGGTCGGGAAGGTACGCAACACCATGGAAATAAACAAGCCATCTACACACAGTTCAAACATCCCCACAATTCGGCGGTATATTTTCAAAAGCGACACCATGCCTCTGCGATGGCGGAAGGGCACAAAGCTGCCACCAAAGCATCAAGCAGCTGACCCTTGGCGCGCTGCTGTCCAGTGGTGGGATCCCTCAGGGGAACATCCAAGCCAGCTGCAAAGGAGCGAAGCTGGCCCCGCGGCATTGAGCTTTCCAGCTCGGACCGCAGCCATTCCTCGCCACGCGCAACTGCTTCAGCCCGTAAATGCTCTGCGTCAGGAAGGCCATCCCAGAACTCGCAGCAGCTGTGGAAGACGAAGTTGCCTGCGCTCTTACAACATAGTTCTTACACACGCACAAAGAGCAAGGCGACCAGCTTCTTACATTCAGGGAAACACTGTTGACAAAAACATTCTTTCGAGCAATCCTCTGTTCGTGCGAACACTGTTGACAAGAAACAAGTGCTTTGGAAAACCATGCCTCTGCGCTGGAAGGAGGACACAAAAAGTTGACCAAGGCATCAAGCAGCTGGCCCTTGGTGCGCTGCTGGCCAGAAGCGGGGTCCCTCTTCTGCACGCCAAGGCCGGCTCCAAAGGAGCGAAGCCTCTCCGCCGCCATGGAGCCGTCCAGCTCGGCCCGGAGCCAGTCAGACCCCCGTAGAGCTGCTTCGGCTCGCAGACGCTCTGCGTCAGGAAGGCCATCCCCAGAACTCGCAGCAGCTGTGGAAGACGAAGTTGCCTGCGCTCTTACAACATAGTTCTTACACACGCACAAAGAGCAAGGCGACCAGCTTCTTACATTCAGGGAAACACTGTTGACCAAAGCAATCTTTCGAGCAAGCCCTCCTCTGTCCGCTACGCGCGCTGAAAGACACGCTCCGGTATCTAAAGGCTTGTCGTGAACGAGTTGAGCATTGAGGGTGCCAAAAAGAGCTAAGCAATAAAACTAAACTTGTGGGGTCTACTTGTAACTGCGAAACCATGCCTCTGTGTCAGGTCGCGAACGTAGAGCTGCAACCACGGCTTCAAGCAGCTGGCTCTTGGAAAGCCGACTACCAGATGCGGGATCCCTCTGCTGCACGCCGAGGCCAGCTGCGAAGGCACGAAGCTTGTCCAGCTTCATCGAGCCATCCAGCTCAGCATGGAGCCAGTCTTGACCATGTACTGCTGCTTCAGCCCGTAAATGCTCAGCATCAGGAAGAGCATCCAAGGGATTCGCAGCCTGCTGCGCGCGCTGAAAGACACACGGTGGAAACCAACAGCGCAAGCCAAAAGTGGTAATTCCAAGAAACCAAGAGGGGTATGCGAAACAATCGTGCGCTCTCGCATGCCAACGTCCAGCCTGCGCACGTCGCTGGCGACCAGAATGCGACATGGCAACACGACACGTCGGAAATACCCGCCAGCGCCGCGCGACTCTGATATCTTCTGGCCACCCGCTGTGTGTAACTGCTTTGGCAAGATTGGTGCGCCAAGGAAACGAATCCGCACTTCGGAAGATGCGATCTGAGCGATGACACCTTCTACAGCACTAACACGGAGGACTGCCTTGAGCATGAATGCACGTGCAAGCAGCAATGACAAGCGACAGCAACCTCATGGAGCACCCCTCCAAAAAATGAAGCATAGCACCAACACAAAGAAGCCGTGTCGCCCTAATCAACTGTCGCCGCAAACATTCTCTGGGCAAGCTCCGCTACTGAGACACTCATGACATCCAAGCTTCGGCTACTATTGCTCTTGTCAGCTGCCTATCACTCCAAAATCCAACTGCGCATGTTTATTTTACAAGCCAATTACAAAAGCCAACTGCCCAATCTCACTTCACAAGCCAATGACAACTGCCAACTGCCCAATCTCACTTCACAAGCCAAATGCACTGTCCCAAAACACAAGCCAAATTTTCGAGTGTTACTTCACTATCCTAAAGCGCAAGCTAACTTCTCGGGCGTTTCTTCGGCATCGGAAAGCGCAAGTATTTTTTTCAGGCGTTACTTCACTATGCAAAAAATTGCAAGCCGACTTTTCCTTTTCTACCTTCTCTTCTCGATTCTGAGTTCTTTCTTCTTTTTCCGGCGGAGCTGGGGAGACGCTCTCCGCGCACTACTTTTGTACTTCAAACTTACGATTTTCGCGCCGGAGCTGGCGCGGACCAGGGGGGATCGAACCTGCGACGCCGCGATTGCGAAAGCAGGCGCGCAAACCATGAGACAACTTTCAAAGGCTATTTGCGAGTAGCGACAGCAAAAGAATTCGCACGGCGCCACAGCGAGCGGTTTCGACACGCACGATCCCCGCAGAGGGTCTGCCAAGGTCAAGGCAGATTCGCCCAGGACCACAGCGAGAGCGATCCGACACGCGCGATCCCCGCAGAGGGTTCATCGGGCTCACACGACAGCTTCGCACGGAACCACGGCGAGGGCAATCCGACACGCGCGATCCCCGCAGAGGGTGCGCCAAGGTCAAGACAGATTCGCACGGGACCACAGCGAGAGCGATCCGACACGCAGGATCCCCGCAGAGGGTGCGCCAAGGTCAAGACAATTCGCACGGGACCACAGCGAGAGCGCTTCGACACGCACGATCCCCGCAGAGGGTGCGCCAAGGTCAAGACAGATTCGCACGGGGCCACAGCGAGAGCGCTTGGACACGCACGATCTCCGCAGAGGGCTCGCCGCGACCAAGACAAATTCGCACGGCGCCACAGCGAGAGCGCTTCGACGCGCAGGATCTCCGCAGAGGGTTCGCCAAGGTCAAGACAAATTCGCACGGCGCCACAGCGAGAGCGCTTCGACACGCACGATCTCCGCAGAGGGTTCGCCGCGTCAAGACAATTCGCACGGCGCCACAGCGAGAGCGCTTCGACACGCACGATCCCCGCAGAGGGTTCATCGGGCTCAAGACAAATTCGGGTTCGCACGCAAGCAGTTCGAAGACAAATTCGCACGGCGCCACAGCGAGAGCGCTTCGACACGCACGATCTCCGCAGAGGGTTCGCCGCGCTCAAGACAAATTCGCACGGCGCCACAGCGAGAGCGCTTCGACACGCACGATCTCCGCAGAGGGTTCATCGGGCTCAAGACAAATTCGCACGGCGCCACAGCGAGAGCGCTTCGACACGCACGATCTCCGCAGAGGGTTCGCGGGCTCAAGACAAATTCGCACGGCGCCACAGCGAGAGCGCTTCGACACGCACGATCTCCGCAGAGGGTTCGCCGCGCTCAAGACAAATTCGCACGGCGCCACAGCGAGAGCGCTTCGACACGCACGATCTCCGCAGAGGGGTGCGTTTCGTAAGCTCCTGTCGGGCCTACCCCCGCCAGAAAAAGAAGAAGAATTAAGAGTCGAGAAGTGAAGGTAGAACAGAAAAGTTAGCTTGTGTTTTTAGGATAGTGAAGTAACACCCGACAAATTAGCTTGTGCTTTTAGTAGAATGAGATAACAGCCGAAAAGTTGACATGAGAAGTTGGCAGGTGAAGTAACTCTCAAAAAGTTGACATGAGAAGTAGGCAGGTGAAGTAACTCTCGACAAGTTGGCATGAGAAGTTGGCAGGTGAAGTAACTCTCGACAAGTTGGCATGAGAAGTTGGCAGGTGAAGTAACTCTCGACAAGTTGGCATGAGAAGTTGGCAGGTGAAGTTGGCAGCCGCTTTTAGAAGAAGAACCCTTCGCAATGCTTCCGGGAAAAATGGTGCGGAGACTCAAGAGTCTACTTGTGCAACCCGGTACAGCTTGGCAGTGATCGCAGAAGCACGAGACTTCCTCCAACCGGTGCAATGCCTAAAGTGCATGGTGAAAGAGTTGCCAACTGCGTTGAATGTTGGATAGTCCAACTGCCCCACCCAAATGTTCAGCCGGTTCAATTCACTGCCTTTTGCACACGACTATGAGTTCATACTTCCAGGAACGGACGAGTGGCTGAGGGAAACGCAGGGAATTTGTCAGTATCAGGCAGCGCCCTTCCTGAACACCTATGCGTTCAACACCGGTGATGAGCAAGAAGATGCGAAGACGAAGGTGCCGCAGTTGTCTTCTGCTCGTGCATTTGGTTTGCCTGTTTGGTCTGTTTCAACTAGTCGATGAAGACTTCGATTCACAAGACCATCTCTAAGATCATTTGTGCCATGAGTGTGTGTGGCTGGGTGGGTGTGCTTACGAGCACGCATCGAGTCATCATTGAATGAGGCATGCCACCTTGCCTTTCTTCATGTTGGCAACATTGCGTGTACGTGCTTTTGGAGGGTACTGTACCCATCACAGGTTGTTCAAGGGACACGTACATGAGAACCGCCAGTTGGGAGTCCCCTTACCTCCCGTCCATGTTGCCATGGAACGTGACGTTTCGGGGCTGGAAGACGATGTTCCCTTAAAAGGGAGCCTGTGGCGGGTTTTATCCGCAACGTTTCCGCAGATGCTGATGGCTCGATTGCTGGACTCCCGGCTGCTGTCGTTGTGTTCTCCTCTCTTTGAGGCGGGGGGGCCGAAGAGATTCGTGCCGAGATTTGTGGGGGACTGGTTGTCAAAATGGCCACTTTCGGTGAGGAAATTGGAACCTCTCTAAAGTGATAAGATAGTGGGAATGAATCACCTTGGTATCGCAGACGGGGATATTGTCCACAGCCAAGGCGGCCGATCAAACACTGCTTCCCTCAATTAATTGCGATTCCACCCCGCCAGCCGATAGAATACATTTTGATTGAAGCCAACATGGCAAGGGAGCGCGAGGCATCGTCCAGCCTGTCTCCGGTGCTTAAGAAGCACGAAGGGTATTTAGACACTGACGCGAAACTGCCAACCACCCGGCACCCCGCCCTTCCCTTTGTTTTTCTTCCTTTCATTTCTCGCTTCATGTCTTTTCATTTCCCTTCATCACCCTTCATTTGTATTCCTTTCCCTTGATTTCCCTTGATTTCCCTTTAGTTCCCTTCATTTCCTTTATTTCCCCTACATTTCCTTGCATTTCCTTTCAGTTCCCTTGATTTCCTTTCGTGTCCCTGCATTTCAGCTAATTTCCCTTCATTTCCCTGCCTGTCGCTTGAGTTCGCTTCATTGTCCTTCATTCCCTTTATGTCCCTCGATGTTCTTTCGTGTCCCTTCATTCCTTCATTTCCCTTCACGTCCATTCAGTCCCCGTCCGTTCCCTTCATTTGCCTTCATGTCTCTTCATCTTCAATCTCCCTTCAAGTTCTTTCATGTCACTTCATGTCCTTTTACTTGCCTAGAGGTCCCTTCAATTCCCTTCAATTCCCTTCACTGATCTTCGTTTCCCTTCATTCCCCCTCAGATCCTTTCAGGTCCCTTCAATTTTGGTTTCCCGTCATTTCCACTAAGAACACGCCGTGCCCCTTTGCAGAGTCCAACGTGGCTTTTGCAAAGGGGTCGGCGGATTTGTGGAACAGCTGAACTGTGTGTTTAGTCTTCAAGGGGACACCAGTACCAACCAGCCGCGATTTCTGCAACCACAGGAGGTCAGCTATGCTGGCGGACAATTGCACATTCTGCGTTGATGGGGTTTCCTTGCCGTTTCCTCTTTGGCAGCCATGGGCTGCATGCCATGATCTGCCTGGAGCGTGATGCACGGGACATTTGATGCAGTCTGGTGAGATATGAACATTGCGGCACTGTGGCTAAAAGCTCAGGAATACGCACCCGTTTTGTTTGTCCCGTCAAAGCTGGTCGTCGCCAGAAGAATGACTGAACAATTGGGTCACTGATCCGCTCTGAAGATGGAGACAGCATGAATCAAGCAAGAAAGTCGAACAAACAAGGCAAATCCTTTCCTTAAACAAAAAACAAAACTGAACAAGTCCGCTCAAAAAAGATTCCCTTCAACCAGGGCCTTTCCCAGCGTCCCTCTCTCAGGCCTTCGATGAGACCAGACTGTTCCGCAGCAACTGGAACCCGGAGCAACGGAGTCAGCTGAAGCGGCAGTTCAAGCACCTCGGCCGTTGAACCAACTTGGGAAGATCACCTTTTATGGCTAGTTGGCTGGATCTTTGCACTTTAACTTTTTGGGGCAACATGGGATTTTGGATTATCCTTTGGACCCACAAAAAGTTGCCTTACATTGCCTTTCATAAACCCCTGGTTGATTAATAGGGGTTGTCCCAATTGTGTGTGAACTTGGATTGGGGACCCGAAATAGTGAACATCATTCAGGTGGGGATTTGTGCCCGACCACTTTTGCGGTGAGTTCCTACTGAGTTTCATGGCCACTTCAGCGGCAAACAAGAAGTTCGGACTTGTTCTGACCACTCCACTCAGAAGTATGTGGCACTTGCCTGTTATTTGAGTTGCCAACAACGATACGTTTGTTTGACATGCGGTGCTGAAGGCAAAGATAAGGAAGCAAGGCAACTCTAATGAAGGGGATGGTGCTAGAACCTGGGAAGCGGCCAAGCCGGAGAGAGAGAGAGAGAGAGAGAGAGCCTCTAAATATGCTGAGTGAGTCCTTGAACAGGTGCAGAGACGAGGAAAGCCACTAGTATCCATGCAGCAGATGCAGCAATGCAAGATTCCTGTGCAAGCAATATTTTGAAGTCAATATGATTGGGCTGAATACCATTGTTTGCTTCTTTGCATCTTCTTTGACATCATCATTTCAGCCATTTGACCACCCCTCATGAATCACCAATCGCCCATCGCCCTTTTTGCACAAGTGTCTTTTGGCCATGAATTTTGCCTCACTAGCTTTGTTCTCTGAGGAGTGTATTCCGCAACGTCACCGTGCCTTGGTCGCATGTTGGGAGAGCAGACTTGTATCCCCAAACCCCTCCTGCCTTCCATTAGATGCCTCAAGCGCTTGCATTGCTTTCCTTGCTCCTGCGTTCTTTTCTTTCTTCGTGCTGCCCGCTATCATGTCTGCTGTCTCCTCCCTCCCAGATCCTCCCTCCCCTCCCTTCCTCCTCCCTGCTTTTCTTGCTTGAGCATCCGCATCCAATCGTTGCACTCTCCTCACTTCGCCGCAAGTCGCAGGAGCTGGTGGACTGTGTGCAGTGTCAGCGTTGCCGTTTGCACGCGAAGCTCTTCTCCTTGGGTCTGGGGACGGTGCCTCGGAGCGGATGGGGTTGAGCCAAGCCACAGCCACCCCCTTGTTTCAACCACCTCCTTCGGTGTTCCTTCAAAGCGGCCCAGGGTTGTTTTAACCAATTTGCCCCAGCCTGGCTTCAGAATGCTGAAACACGATTCAGTGACGAGCTCAATGCTCGCGCTTCTCAATGAGTTCCACTGAGTGATCTTGCAAAGTTGGCGAATGAGAGTTTTCTTACTGTATCCCTCTGAAGTAATGTTGCCTACTTGGGCTTGACTCTTGAGCTTCATTGGACGGATCCTGCAGTGAGGCATTGAAGATCCTCCTGTCGCCGGAGGACCTTATTGCCAGCACCACATCCCGTGATGACGTCGTGGCCATGGTGAACGTCCTGTGGAAGCTGTCGGACTCCTTGGAGGACCCTAAACCGGAAATCCGGCGCCAGGCGTTCAGAGGCTATCACACAAACCTGGAACACCTAAACCGGATTGGCAGCAAAGGGGTTGAAGGTCAAGCAGCCGTGTTTTGCTGAAAGGAGCTGTGCACCGTGTTGGCCAGGCTGGCAATGTATTTGGATGGAACCTCAACTTGGGATGGTTGAACCTCAACATGACCAAACAAATAAAGCACGTTGTTTTGTTTAACACGTACATAAAACAAGCATGACAAGGTGATGCTTTCGCATCTACTTGAGGAATCAACGGCAATGTTTGAGTGTTGACAGCAGCAAGCGCGTTTTCAGATGTGTCTCAGAACTGATTAGATCATCCTAATGGCCTTCCGAGATTTCCACGGTTGATCAGGGCGGCACCGTAAAACCTCGTACCCCAAGGATCAGAGATGGCTTGTAAGTTCGGAAGGCCTAAAGGACTGGTGAAAGACAGCGATGTGTGAAGCAGAACACCTGTCCAAAACCGGCCACATGTGTGGCCTACTTGTTTGGATGGCTGAATAAGGAGTAGTTGGTGTCTAAGACACGTGGCGTGCTGTTCAAGGTGCTTGTTTGTGGAGAAAAAGAGTTCAAACAGCATGATGGCGTTCCTTACGGCAATAGAACGTCGTGCAGCCTACCAATGGTGAAAGTAGAGAACGGCATATACCAGCTTCGCACATTCCCTTCAGGCGTTGCAGAAAAGTACATCTAGACCACTCGCTTGAATCGTGTCCGTGGCAAGGCTGGGCTGTGTATGCAGTTCTTCTCCCGGCACCTGCCAGAGAAAATGATGTTCAGTTCTCTTGAGCACTGTGCACCGTCTCCGCTGCCTGGTTTCCCTTGTTTGTAGGGGCTTCTCTCTGAACTTGCAGAAGACAAGCGCCTTTTGCCTTTTCGCCACGGAAATCCGGATAGGACGTGCGCACCATGACCAAGCAGTACTACGAGCAGCAGGCACCCATAGTGCAGCCGCAGCCGCCCCAAGGACCGAAGCGGGGAAGCCTTCAGCCCGAGTGGCTTGAGGAAAGTGAAGGCTACGTTAGGCTATTAGGTGGTACCCCAAAAATGGCTGGTTGGGTTGCAGAAGTCCCCCATGGAAATCAAGCCGACCAAATTAAGCCCACAGGCACAGCGCTACTGTTGGCCAAACCGCACGATCAATATGAGCCTGTGTTGTTTTGAGGATATCCTTGTGGGGGAGGGTTCCGCATTTTCACACACCCATATGGGACACCATATTTGTCAGCATGACTGCAATCTCACACCAACTTTGTTCTAAGCATTTTGTGAACGGCTGAGTCTCTGTGTGTCTGTATGTGTGTTGTTTCGCATGCGGTTTTCGTCCATCCCGACGTGAGGACCTGACACCGCGCCCGACCTGGACAACACGGACCAGCCCATGCCACAGGGCACCAGGCATGAAGGGAGGGGGTCGGGTGGCTTGGGGATGGATGGGTTGGTTGGATAGGGTTGGTGAGTGGGTTGGGAGTGTGAGTGGGTGGGTGGTGGCGGTCGAATCCTACTTGAGTCTTCATTAAAGTCCTATCTAGGAAAAGGAGCCAAATAAGGAGCCGAATAACAATTCTATACAATGGATTGTTTCATAAAAGCAGAATATGTTCAGCATCGTTTGCAATCATCATCCTGCATAAGAGGCCTTACAACAAAGTTTACAAGCAGCTTGTATGGAGCCTTATGGGGAGCTAAAAACTACAAGGAGTTGTACAATGAGCCTTGCAGGCAGCTTGATAAGGAGCCTTGTAGAGCTTTATAAGGAGCCTTACAAGGAGCCTTATACGGCTTCAGTAAAGAGTTTTAAAGCCAGCTGTTGAATTTTGGTTTAAAATCCTAGTTAATTCAAGTTCTACTTGGTAAGCTATGTCTTTCTTGAGTCTAATCTAGAGCTCTCACGGACTGCGCAGGTAAATATCAATGCATATCGAAGCAAGGCGTGTGCATATATGGTCACACCTTCAACAAGAACATAAGAGAGCAATTCTCAGAAGCAACAACAACGACAACGACAACCACAACAACAACAACAACAACAACAACAACAACAACAACAACAACAACAACAACAACAACAACAACAACAACAACAACAACAACAACAACAACAACAACAAGACTTGACGAGCAATGCCTGCAAAGCAAACGACTCAGTGTACTGTTGGTGTTTCTGTACGTTTCAAAAGGTTTGGTTTTTGGGAGGGACAATGCAACAAACAACTCAGGGAAAACCAAGCAACCCAGACAACCTCGAGAAGCCAACAAAACAAAGCAATCTCTTGGTCATAGTATTTGGTATCAGCCCCAAACTTTGGCTTGTGTGGTTTTCTTGACGTTGCTTTTGGCTTTTGGTTGTCCATCAGTTTTTGCCTTTCTGACATTCAGTTGACATTCTCCATCACAAAAGCAAACAAACTCAAGGCTTTTTGGTTTCTGGACATCTGGCGTTCTAAAGGGAAATATACTATTTTTTTTGTTTTCGTGAGGGAGAATGTGCAAGAACAAAACCAACTCGGGGGGGAGAAACGAAAAAGGCCTCGAACAACCAACCAGCGCAAAGTTTGAGGCTAAAACCAAAGATTGTACTGATATTGTTTTGTTTTGTTTGTGTTTTTGTTTGGCTGTTATTGTTTCGGTTGTGTGTTTGGTTGTTCGGTTTCCCCTGTTTCGTTTTACTGCCCCAGATATTACTACAGAAAGGACTTGATGAGTGGGGCTGGATCTCTTTTTCACCATGTCATGTGGATATGGGAGAAATTTTCGGGATGAGGTGACCTCTCTTTTTCACCAGGCCGGACAGTGGAAAAGAGGCTTGGGGAAAGAGATGGAGCGAGGAAGGGATGACTGCAGACCCCAAATGTAGCCAAGTAAAAGCGAATGGCTTTGCTGCCAACTCGCTCTCTTTTCCCATCCCTTACCTCTCACTTCAACGTAAAATCCCAGATGCAAAGACGAAGGGGATGGACGGTTGAGGCCTTGAATGGCGGATTAGTCCCTGAGATTGAGGCTGTCCCAAAGGCAGGAATAAATTACAAAAGTAAGAATGCGAAGGAGAAGAGACTAGAAAGATAGAATGAGAGTGATTCATAGCTGTCCCTACTAGTACCTCCTAAAATGATACCATCATTGTCTTTCAGCATATGTATTCATAATGACTCTATGTCATAGACTTACACTAGGAACATAGCACAACTGTCCATTAGAAAACACATGCAGACAAAAAGAAGATAACGAGACACACAAGTAACATATGAAGAAGTGATACAAGAAACCAATATAACATATTCATATATTCCAAGAAACCGAAAGATACATGAATATGATAAAGAGATGGGAGCAGGAAGAACATAAATACAAATTGGATTAAGCATGGAGTAATTATGAAAGACTAAAAACAAACACAACCATGAAATGTGTACCCAAACAAGAGCAACACCAAGTTGTAGATCATATATAACATGAATGTCCATTATTCTAAGGCTTACGATAAACAGTAAAAACAAATGGAGCAATCGTCTTGGAAAGAACATGAAAGGGACAGATATAACAATGAAATTGCAATATACATATAAGGCGCCTTCTACATTTGGAGTTTTCAACAGTAGAACAAAATATATAAATGAATATATGAAGACAGAAAACTCCAGATGAAGCGATGCTTGTCAAACTGAAGGACCGACCGACGGACGGATGGATGGATACATTCGTACATACGTACGTGCGTGAGACGTACATACCTACAGACGCAGAAAGAGGCAGAGACAGAGTCAGAGACACAGTCAGAGACAGAGCCAGAAAGACAGGCAGGTAGACAGATACACGTGACTCACAAGCAGGCAGGAAGGCAGGCAGCCAGACAGACAAACATCACTGCAGCACAGTGCATTGCATTGCATGCATGCATGCAGCACATGAACCGCAGAGTCATTGTAGATGCAGGCCCTACATTGTGTGGATGGCTAAACTCAAGCTCAAACTCTTTGTGGCTTTGGACATGCAGTGTCATCCACCCCCTTCGTTTCCTGTGGATATGCACAAAGACAGCCTCGAGAGAAAGCTTGGGAGGCACCTCCACACCTGGTACTTGTCCCTTGCCTCGCCGCAGGCGGCAACTACTGGACCTTGCGCTGCGAAATGTACACAAGGCGAGCGCAACTGGCCAGCTACCTTCAGAGGCTGAGGCCGGATGCAGAGAGGGAGGGCTTGGCCACTGTTTTGCAAAGCATGTTCCATCACCCTCCAACGTCTGCATGTTTTTTCTCCCCGATTTCAAAAATCCCAATGTCAAAATGGAGGTGGGTTTTTGACACGGCCACCCATTTGGTTGGGTATTAGCTTTGCTTGCAGCAAGTCTTGGCTTTAATTGCTTTGACTCGATTCCAATCAAAGACCCCGTAAGGGTTTACGGGGAATGTTCCATCCCCAAACCTCAGGCAGGCCGATTTGTTTGGGTATCTTCCCTGGCGGTAAAAGCGTCCAATAAAATTAAAGCAACGTGTCTTAATGTGTGCTATCATGTTTTTATAGTTCTGAACATGTTTTGTACCAAAGTGGGGGCGGGTTGGGATTGATCTCAGAGATGTGGTGACTCCCGGATCGCACGGCCACTGGGAGGAGAGGCTTTTGCGCTTCCTGGTGGCTCCGGGTCAGGCCAGTGAGGCTGGTCCGACGCATCCCATATTAGTCTTTGCTGCAACGTGACTGAAGTCTTTACCCGGGGGTCCGTACAAATATATACACAACGTTGTTTCTCTTACTTGCATCCATTTGCATAATTCTTCCAAATCAGTCGTACCCTGAATTAGCTCACTCTTGTATGAGACATGCATGCAGCCTTTGATTCCAAATCACCTTTGTGTCCCTGTCAGGACTACTCGCCTGGCTGAAGGGTGTGCCAAGTCATATAGTATTTTGGCTTTGCCAATGCAGTTTGGGATCGTCGGAGAGCTGTTGGCATTCTTGAGAGGAATCTTGAGCGCTTCAAAGCTTGCCCGTGAGCCCTTGGGTTCTTTTGATGTCTTGACTCAGTTGAGCGCATGACAATATTACTGGTAGTCCGCTGTTGGCTTGGAGAGGCCCAGGAGAAACAACCCAAATTTCCCACACAACCAGGGGGCCCAACGGGGCTGAGCAGCCCCAGGACTTACCCTGCATGCGGATGCCATGTGAAACTGCCTCAAGTGCAGCCCGTGTGCCGGTTGCGGGGTCTTGGTCTGCGACCTCTGGTGCGTGTGTCTTCTGGTTGTTGGAGCAGGAATTCTCAGGCCGGTATCACCAACCGCTGGGCACGTGAGCCCCAGAGTCGCATGATGAACCTACACAAGAGACGAGGCCCACCCAATTGTCCGATATCTCCTTGGGTCATTTGCAGTTTCGTCGCGTTTCTCAGCATCTCACCAGTGGCTTGCAGGAGGTCCTCCTCATGGCACGCCACTACTCTGACCGTGCAAGCACCTTTTGCAGGCAGGGCAGGGGTACCGTGTACCTTTGCGCAGGTGATCGCAAACAATTGACTTGGGGATGGGACGATCAGCAAGGGACAGTTCCAAAGATAAACAGGTGCCCGCCCGTTTGATTTGATAATTTGGAAAGGCGCTTTTCAATAATGACTATTGATGTTGGCTCGATGGGGCTATTGCTGGAAATGGGCTTGTGCACAGATGGTAGGTGGCGGGTTTTCAAGTGGAAAGTCAAAAACACACAGAGCTCCGATTCGGCCTTGGATTCAAACAGGGTAGGTTTAGCCCTGGGTATAGGGTTGATTTGGGGTCGTGCATTTAGGGTTCATTGTGGTTAGCGGATGCAGGGCGAATAGTGGCTAGTGGATGTAGGTCTGGGTCTGTTTTACGTTTGATGTATGGCGGGCAAGCGGTTCGAGTGGGTTGAGGGCGATTGATGCAGGCTTTGTGGGTCGGCTTTACCAGCTGCACTTTGCACTGTGAGGAACTCCATCTCGCCAAACCCCAAAAGCCAAAAGCAACATATCCTGAGCCTTATGCATTGACAGGGCCTGAGTTTTGGCCAGTGCTCGGGAAAAGCCCAAAGCCTAGCACTTCCAGGCCCACATGGAAGACATTGAGCCATCCCAGGTGCTGGGTAAGATGCCCCGTGGGAAAACGTGGGTCGATGGTCAGGGCACTCCTCCCACCGGTAGCAAAATATGCCGAGCAAGCCAAGAGCTGGGCAGAGATCTCATTGGATAAACTATATCCTGGATCAATTCAGATTGTTGGTTGATCAACCAGCGTGCAAATTAACGGCAGGATCCCAAAGTGGTTTCCTCTATATACACATGTTCCTTTTTTGAGGTATGTTAGTCCCTGGGGGAGTAATCGGGTTTCATCCATCCCAACTCCTTGCGACTGTGCCAGGATCGCTCTCTTCGCTGCCGAGGCGTTTGAGTCGGCGGGCAGTGTGGCAGCGCCTCAGGCTGGGCTTGGAAGGGCTGGAGATCAGTATGGGGTGTTGTCTCAAAATCGGGGTATGAGAACCTGATCTTTTGGTGTACTTTCAGAGACCAGAGGAACGTGAAGCAGGCTTAGTAATAATTACCTTTCAACAACTGTCTTGTTGGTGTCCAATGAAAGCCCAAGCTGCTGAGAAACCCTCCCCTGCAAATTCACGGAAGGAACCCGACAACGGGGGCTCCCGCAAAGCAAGTTTCTGCCAAAAGGATGGTTTTCTGGGTGCGTAGGGAGGATTCCTGCTGTTTTTGTGGCTTCGAAGATTTAGGCTTACGGTGATTGCTGACCTGCTCAGTTGACAGGCCAAAATTGGCTTGAACTTGACCAAACTCAAGAAAGTTTGCCAACTCAACAGATGAATTGTGTTGGATCCTTTCTATGTTCACCGTGTGTTTTTCTTTTCTTGCGCTGCTGCGACGCCAGGCGTTTTTTCGCCACAGATTTATTCGGGCGCTTTGCCAGGCCAAGGCCAAGGCCGCGCCGGCCGACCTGGTCATCGTAGGGGGGGGCTTGGCGGGGATGAGCGCCGCGATGGCGCTGCTGGACCGCGGGGGCTCGGTGGTGATGGTGGAGAAGCCGGGGAGCCAGGGCTGGGGGGGGGGGCTGGACTGCTGGACTGGGTGCCTTGTCAGACACAGAAAGGCCAAAGGGGATGGATGAGTTGTTCATAGATTTGCCCAGAGACCCTGTTTTGCACCCACGAAATGGATGGTGCTGCTCGACTCAGCTTTTTCCTTTTTGACATGGTCGCCCCTTCAAGGCGCTTTTGAGATTCATTCAGTCTCTCTCTCTCTCTCTCTGTCTCTCCCTTCCCTGCAAAAGGCTCACTTGGGGTCGAAGTCCAGCCAAGGGCTTGAGCTGATTGAATGACAATAACCCTAGCTCTTGGAAAGGCAAGGCCATGAGCGCGATGCTTGCTCCTGTCCGTTTTTTTTCTTCAGCTGAAAGGGTGACACCAAGCCTCGGAAGTCAATGCACACCACCCGCTGCTCACATAGCACCCGTTGCAAAAAACAAAGCGATCTGCAAGATGCTGACCTTGGGTTGCGACAGGATTGGTTCCCTTTGTAGTGGCTTTCCAAAAGGGATGATGGATCAGGATGGGCCAACACTCTATTTTGAACAGCGGCCTGCGTCCGGCCGCGTGTTTTTTCTTCTTGTTTGTTTTCCTTTTGTTTTCTCCTCGGGGCACCGTTGCAGAGCCAGTGCAGCACAGCATGAATGACAATCAGCTGGATCATCTCTGTGCAGATGATATGTGACCTTCTTCAGAATGTGTTGCCGAATCGCATGCAGGCAGCCTTACCTCGGAGGGAACTCCGGCAAGGCGTCTTCAGGACCCGAAGCAGTTTGTATGGTCTCTGTGGGTTTGTGCTGCCGTGCTGCCCCTGAGATATCCCATCACCTAATATCACCCATATCGATTCTCAAGTCAATCTGTTAGCTGGCGTTCACAAGCCCGTTTCGTTTTTTGCAGCCAAATGGAGCATATGAGTGTTTGATCCTTCAATCAATTCCCAGCGACCAGCCTTCGCAGACATTGCGGACCTGAGACCGCGCGAGGAATCAACGCCGCTTTGGAGACGACTGTGGAGTCATTGGTGGAGGACACAACAAAGAGCGCTGGAGCGCAGGGTGGCCCAGAGAATCAAGGAACAGGGAAGGTGGGTGGACACTTTGGCGGAGTTGGCAGAGAATGACTCCCCCCAGGAGGCAATATCTATGAGGTTCGGTCATTGGTAGTGGGACATGAGAGGGAACTCACTCAAATGGTCCGCCACAGGTCTCCCTATGTTTGAAGCCTGGCGTTTAGTGTGTTGGGCAGAACAAGGAAACGTGGGTCCTTGTTTGAGAAAGCCCAACGCAAGACACTGATGACGATGACGATGACGATGATGACGATGATGATGAGGATGAGGATGATGAGGATGATAAGGATGATTCATGGTTCATGGTTCATGATTCATGATTCATGATTTCAAGATTCATGATTGAGGATTGATTATTGCATGTGTTTGCAGCTGCTAAAAAGTTATTGACAAATCCAGCTCGCCGTGTGACTGGCCCAAAGAAGAGTCTCTGTTCGAAATTGTGTTTTCCTTTGCAACCTTCGCCACAGAAGTGTCACCTTGGACTTGAGCTGGTGCGAAACTTGTGCCAACGCGTGCCAATTGGATGCTGGACTGAGGCCATGTGGATCCCCAAACTTCCGACAACTTTAAGGTGCTCAGGAACGGCGATGTCAAGAACCGACACGCCGCGTTGTTGTTTCTTTCTCCGGCCGAAAGCGTGGCGAAGTCATCCGCAAGCGGGCCAAGGCTGGTGCGGCCGGATCTCATCCAGGTCCTGGCCACGGAGTCTGCGGAAGCTGTGGCTTGGCTGAGGCGCAGCCCAGAAGCCGCAAGCCTCGGAGCCTCGGAGCCTTGGTGCGGAGAAGAAGAAACCAAAGGCCTTGGATTTGGAAGGGGTTTTGGGATAAACTCATGGGACTTGGCACCCTCTTTCTTTGTGAAAAAAGAGAGATGGGATTTCTTGACAGTGGATGTTGAAACGATCCTGATAGGTGATTATGTTTGTTGAGAGTACCCTTTGTTTTGTGGGTTGAGGAAATCCACCATTTTGGGGGGTGCCCTAAAACAACCAACTGAAATGATGCCAGAGTTGCAATGCTTGCTGTGATTTGTGTTCGGTTTGGGAGGGTTGAGTTGGCGCCTGGGCCCGGCCAGGGACCGCACGAAAGTGGACCTCTCCATGCGGTCGCAGCTGGGAGGGCACACTGCCAAGCGAACTCTAAGGCAGGGCTCACAGCCGGGCCCGCCCGCATTAACCAGAAGTGAAGGTTGGTGAGGGACCAGTGCTAGGAGCGGCTGTCCGTCCTTGCAAGTTTCTACATTCTGGGCAGACCACTCTGCCAGGTTTTGAATGTGACTGTAGGGCTATTCGGGCGAGGATTTGACCATCGCTTCATTCGCCCCTGGGCAAAATTCATCCCCCCGCAATCAGACTAGAACTACCATACCTGTTAACTTGCGCGAGGTCCCGGGGAATAGTTTGCAGAAGCGTTCCAAGGGCTTCAGAAAAAATAGCGCAGACCACCACTCTTCCAGTGCCTCAAGTAGCTCAGATTACGTTTTTGCAACCAAACAACACAAAGGTTTTGAACCGGTAACCCCACACGCCAAGACTGCTTGGACCATGCCACAGCATGCCGTTTCAATGCTATCCGGGCCAATCAAGCCTTGTGCCAGCAAAACACACGCCAAACAAGGACTCCAAATCTCTGTCAAAACATGCGGACATACCTTAGCAAGCTTGTCTCGGGAAGCGCTGCTCCCGTTTGATCCGAGCAGTGTTCCGGAATAGGGTAATGCAAGTGACTACATCACGATGGCGCAGCCCTTTTCCTTGGGGAGTTGCAGATTTCTGAGGATAATGCTCGCTTGTATGTTCGCCTTCAGGTTTCCAAAAATATGGATGAGTTTGGAATGTGCCCCAATTTTAGGCTTGCTTTTCTCCACGTTTTAGCCTGAGCTTGGAGATGTTCCAAGCTCTCCAAACTCAAGCTCGCTTTCTCCTAACTCAGCCCTGAGAAATCAATTTGGGGGTCCCTAAAGTTGGCCTTTTCTCAGCCTGAGTCTCGAGATTTGCCGAACTTAGTCTTGTCTATATTGACCAAACAAAACCCTTGTTTGACCCATTCAATTTCCATCGAAAAACGGATAGTCGCCACCAATACATTTGCGAAACGCGTCTTCGCACGCAAAGCCAGGCGAGTTTGCAAAACACGGGCCTGAGCGTGAAGATTATCCAAACTCAAGCCGACTTTTGGAGAAAACAGCCCTGACTGAGTTTGGAGCAAGCTCGGGCCGAGTTTGGAGAAACGAACTGAGTTTGGAGAATCTCCAAACGCAGGCCCCAGTTTGCAGAAAATGGGCCTGAGTTTGAAGAAGACTTGTCAGTCCTGGTTAGTCCAAACTCTTTGTACGAAGCCAAGAAGCTCTCCGAGTTTGGAAAATGGAGGAACAGGGCCCGAGGTTGGAGAACTTTAAACTGAACCTGAGTTTGCAGAAAACAAGCCTGACTTTGAAGAATCCGCAAACTCAGCCCGAGTTTTGAGAAAACAGGCCCGAGTTCGGAGAATCTCCAAACTCACCCCGATTTTGGAGAAAACGGGCCTAAGTTTGGAGAATCTCCAAACTCACCCCGATTTTGGAGAAAACGGGCCCGAGTTCGGAGAATCTCCAAACTCACCCCGAGTTTGGAGAAAACGGGCCAGAGTTTGGAGAGTTTGGAGAATCTCCAAACACCCCGAGTTTGGAGAAAACGGGCCCGAGTTCGGAGAATCTCCAAACTCACCCCGAGTTTGGAGAAAACGGGCCCGAGTTCGGAGAATCTCCAAACTCAGGCCCGTTTTCTCCAAACTCATTTTGTGAAACACGCGAAGAAGCGTTCGGCAAGTGTTTTGGTGGAGAAAATAAGCGTTCGGATGGAGATTGTCAGGCAAAATAAGCGTCCTGCAGGAGAAAAACACATTGAAATTTGGAGTTTGGAGAATCTCCAAACTCAGCCCGAGGTTGGAGAAAACGGGCCCGAGTTTGGAGAATCTCCAAACTCAGGCCCGTTTTCTCGAAACTCGGGCCCAAGCTTGGAGAATCTCAGAATCTGCAAGCACACCCGAGTTTGGAGGAAATGGGCCGGCGTTTGGAGCATCTCCAAACTGAGCTTGGAGAATCTCCGAACTGAGTTTGGAGAATCTCCAAACTGAGTTTGGAGAATTTCCGAACGCAGGCCTAAGTTTGGAGAAAATCTGTCTGAGATTGGGGAATTTCCAAACTCATCCCGAGTTTGGAGAAAACGGGCCTGAGTTTGGAGAATCTCCAAACTCGAGCCCTTTTTCTCCAAACTCGGGCCCGAGTTTGCCAAAATTCGATACTCAGTTCGAGTTTGGAGAATCTCAAACCTCAGGTCCGTTTTCTCCAACCTCGGGCGGCGCGCTTGGAGATTCTCGAAACTCGGGCCTGAGTTGTTGGAGAACACATGCCTCAGTTTAGAGAATCTGCAAAGTCATCCACGGTTTGGAGAAAACGGGCTGAGTTAGAGAAAACAAGGCTGAACTTGGAGAAAAGGAGCCTGACTTTAAAGAGTGAACGCAGGCCCCAATGGGCCTGAGTTGGGGGAAAACGGGCCTGGGTTTGGCAACTCGGACCCGAATTTGGAAATCTTCAAACTCGAGCCTGAGTTTCCCCAAACTCAGGTTGAGTTGGGAGAAATTGGCTAGAGGCTAGAGTTTGGAGATTATGAGCCTGAGTTTGGAGTATCTCCAAACCCTCACTGAGTTTGGAGACAACGGGCCATAGTTCGGAGATTCTCCAAGTCCAATCGCAACAGCCCGAGTTTGGAGAAACTGTCGAAGATTGAAATTGGTTGGAACTTAGCGGACTCAGTTCGAAGAAAAACAAACCGAGGAGTCGTGAGTCTTGACATGTTTGCTGCTGCCTCCTATCACCCATCTCGGTGATGAGATTGGAGACTGGGACTGTTTGCACCAAACGCGGCACACTCATGCCCCCCCTATTCTCAGAACTCTTCCAATTTACGGGGTCTCAACAAATGAACCGAGTTTCTTCATATGGCGCTACGGGTGCGCAGAAACTGACGTTAGCCCAACTTTGTTCAATTTCAACCCTGGGTTTGGAAAGTCGAGCTCGGTTCCCGACCTTGTTGCAAGGCCTTGTCACAGCAAGATGCGTTCCTGGCTTCCAACAACGGTTGTGAGTACAGGTTGCAGAAACGAAACGTGCTTGATCAAACTGGGGCATGAACACGACAGCTCACTTGGGGGCTGCTATTGCCCCAAGTGAGCCGCCGTTTTCATGCCCCAGTTTGATCGAGAGCGCTTCGTTCCTGCAACTTGCACTCACAGCCGTTTTGGGAAGCGTGGAGCGCTTCTTGCTGTGGATTGCAAAAAAGGCCTGAGCTCGTGCAAGTTAACAACCATACCATTTGGATTTGTAGCGTTGTCGGCGACGCAGACTGATGTAGACTTCACAAGCTCAAGATCTGAATGGATTGCGAGGTCGCAGTTGCAAACTATGAACATGTGAGCTACCACTAAAGGTGCGTATAAAAGATATGGAGTGCAATAGGGTGAACACCCCCCAAGAAGAACACGATGGTGTCATTTTAATTTAAAGCGAAGGAATCAGACATATTCCAGTTTGGCACACAGGATTTTGACGGGCAACTTGTTGACACCACGACTTGGTCAGACCCTCCAACGCCTTCGTTGGAGCCGAGCTCACCTTCGCTGCGGGTCAGGCAAGGGGGTGGGGGTTAGCTGCATAGCCGCTACCAGTTCGCCGCGTTTATGGCTGTGGAAGACTGACGAGTCGGTCAGTGCACAAAGCCATGTCATGGATTCTCGGTGCAGGTGAGACGAGTAAGCAACTGCACTTGACTGCTAATGGGTTGGATTTTTAGACTTTAACTTTTTGGGAAATCAAGGGGTTTTCCACTAACCCCCAAAAAGTTAAACTTTTTGCAGGGGGGTCAACAGCAACCAAGTGCACGGCCAAAATCGCAAAAGGAAATAATTGAGCAAGCTGTGTGCCAAAATTCAGCTAAAGGTTTCTTCCTTCAGAAAGGATTGGCAAGTATTAGTGAAAGACGTCAATTTTTGTCAGTGCAACGGCCTTTGGCTTCAGTTTTGTTGCAAATATTTTACTTAGCATTGGTAGTTACAGCACTTCCCTCGAGTGAACAGCACTGCAAGATGTTCTTCCAGTCCATCCAGCTATCCATCCAGCCAAGGGGCTCTTCAGCTAAATGTTTGAAAATCGGCGGAAGTCAGAACAGAGTCTCTATGAAGTCAACCCTCATGAAGTCTCCATCTAGTCTTCCAAGAGGTTGAGATGCAATTTCTATGTTGCACGTCAAGTTCGTGTCACGATTTCGCAGCGACCTTGAATCTGAGTTGCAAGCTCGAGCGTCGGGCTTTGACGAATTGTCTTTGTGTGTCTCCGAGAAAGGGTAGCTAAGTGGTCAGTCTTCAGGAGGCCCTAAGACTGTGATTGCTTGTGTTCCTGAGGAATGTTGTTTGACGCGTGTGGGGGAAGGAATCTTGGTGTATGTCTTTGTTGAGGGTACTTGGTACCCTTTCCAGCTTGGTTTAAAGAGAAACAGAAACGAACGCCACCATTGTCTTTCACGAGCAATGTTTGTTGTGCTGCATTCAAAAGTGGTGGTTTGATGTTGGACCTACAACTACAACTGTATCAAGTGGCGTGCTCTAGATTCAAGAGTTGATTCCAATCATTCTTGAAGTGGATCTTCAGAGCGGACAGACAGGACAAACAAATGGTGACGATGAACCGTGCTGGTGCGGTTTGCTCATTCCTGCAAAGTGTTACAGGAGACTAAAGATTGGTCACCAAGTTGCAAGCGAAGGCTTGTGTCGTTGCACGGCTTGGCTGAGACTGGCAGCAACAATAGCAAGACCAATATTGGAAGGCCAATTATGATAGTCAGTAGAAATATATCCATGAGCAACTCGAAAGCTCACAACGTGACATGGTGCCAAAACAAAAGCAAGCGCCAGGTGCTTAGCAAGCTGGCCGAGCAGGGCAGTAACTTTCAGCTCATGCTGAAGTCCAAGTGGACGGGCCTGCGCAGGAGGGCTCTTGGGGTTCCCAGACCTCCATACCTCCAGACCTCTAGACCACCAGTTTATTTCTCCGAGGCAGTTTCCCTGAGGCTCAACTACCGGAGGTCGCGTTCATGTTCAACGAACGTTTGGAGGTGTATGTGATAGGACTCATCTATACTTCCATGATGGATCCTGCAACATGCCATTCCTTGTGATTGCCCATGACGCGCGCTCGTATTGAGTTGAAGGGCAGCCTCGTTTGCCCCCCGCAAGCCTTCACAGCATGTCAAAGGTGAAGGTTCAGGCTGAACAGAAGCAGACTACATGCGCAGGTTGGATTCTGGCGTTTGGGAGATTGACGTTCAGCAGAACGGCGCCACAATCCAGGCAGGGCACTTGTGCTGCTGTTAAAAGACAAACAGCACGGTTTCGAGGTAGTGACATTGATCTACCAAGTCTCTGGGCAGGGTGGCTTCTCGTTTGAGACCTCATGTCTGACAAATGTGCGTTGCTTTGCGGTAGGGTTTCACGCTCCACCCCAAGAATGATGGTTTCAAGGGCACCAATTCCATTGCCCGAGGGGTGGGTGGACGAGAAAGCATTTGTCCGTTGATCCCTTGACTGGAGATACAGTAGCCTGATTACTTTGCAAAGCATCACCAAAGCAGCACCTCATTGAGGGAACTAAGCCGGATATCTACTACACCGTGACTCAAATTATCCAAGCAATCAATCCAGGTTCGGCGGAAAGAGCAGCAACAAACATCAGTATGTCGTGCCAACATGGGGCCTGCCCACAAGCGGTGGTTGCCCCGTTGGCTTCCCTTCAAACCAAGGTCCAAGGTAAAAAGGGTACCGCGCCTCAACAAACAGACACACCCAACTGTATATGAAAGCATGCAGAACCAGCTGAGAGCGGTAAGTGGCCCGCCAACGAACACATTTAAAATGAGTTGCTGTGGAGTACCTTCCTGTGCAAGACTTGGGAGGCATTGATGGGTGAAGGGTAGACTTGGTTTGGGGTCCTTGTGTTCCACTATTCTGCCCTTCCATGGTTTTGGGGCCAGACCCAACTTATGAGTTTGCTTGGTACTCCCAAATTCACAGTCATAGCTCCCCGCCCAAACCCTTTGTCAGCCAACCCCCCAACCCCTCCCCCTCTCGCCTCGTCCGAAAAGCGAGGTGCAGGGTCGGCAGCTCCTCATTGCCTCGGGGGGCTTTGGCCACGACGCCAAGGAGCTCGAGAGCCTTCTGCTGAAGTACCGCCCGGAAGCCCAACGCTGGCGGTTTACAGGAAACCATCTAAGGCCTATATACTTGCTCCACGCCCCTTGAAGTTCTTGAAGTTTGCGGGGTTGTGCAAATTGCGTTTGGGGTAGGAACTCCTTTAAAGTTTTGAGAGCATTTGGACAGATTCTATCCAGCTCACCTGAGGGTAAGACAAACACCCATGAAGGGTCCTGCAAACAGCACAAAGCGGCTTCAAAGAAGAACACCCAGTCCATTTGCACATCTTGTCGCCCAGAGGGCGGACAGAAATTTAGTCACAGAGGTTTGGACACATGAACATACTTGCACAGTCTGGGTGCGACGAGTTGCTGTTTAACTGCTGCTTTGGTCGGTGTCTACTACTACTACTACTACCACCACCACCACCACTACCACTGCCACTACCACTACCACCACCACCACCACCACCACCACCACCACTGCTACTACTACTACTACTACTACTACTACTACTACTACTACTACTACTACTACTACCTACTACTACTACTACGACTACTATTACTGCTACTACTACTACTTCCACTACTACTACTACTACTACTACTACTACTACTACTACTACTACTACTACTACTACTACTACTACTACTAATACATACTACTACCACGCTACTACTACTACTACCACCACCACCACCACTACTACTACTACTACTACTACTACTACTATTTGTTGCCTACGATTACGACTTCGACTACTACAACTACTACAACTAGTACATACTACATACTACTCTATTCCACTACATACATTCCACTACATAATGCTACATACTACTGCATACTGCTGCATACTACCGACTACTACATACCACTACATACTATTACACACTGCTACATGCAACCACACACTACTACATAATACGTCATACTATTGCAAGCTACAACATGCTACTACAAACTACTTCATACTACTACACCTGCTATCACATACTACTCATCATACTACTACTACTACTAGTACTACTACTACTACTACTACTACTACTACTCCTACTGCTACTACTACTACTACTACTACTACTACTACTACTACTACCTACTACTACCTACTACTACCTACTACTACTACTAGTAGAAGTAGTACTACTACTACTACTACGACTACTACCACTACTACTACTGCTGGTACTGCTGCTACTGCTACTGCTACTGCTACTAGCACTCCTACGATTACTGCTGCTACTACTACTACTGCTACTACTAGGCCTACTACTGCTACTACTACTGCTGCTGCTACTACTACTACTGCTACGCCTACTGCTACTAATAGTACTACTACTACTACTACTACCACTACTACTACTACTACTACTACTACTACTACTTCTACTACTACTGCCAGTACTACTGCTGCTACTGCTGCTACTGCTACTGCTACTGCTACTACTACTCCTACGACTACTGCTGCTACTACTACTACTACTACTACTACTACTGGGCCTACTACTACTACTGCTGCTGCTGCTGCTGCTGCTGCTGCTGCTACTTCTACTACTGCTACTGCTACTGCCACTGCCACTGCCACTGCCACTGCCACTGCCACTGCCACTCCGACTCCTACTCCTATTCCTCCTCCTACCCCTACTGCGACTACTACTACTTCTTCTTGTGCATGGGCCCAGCTCCCAATGCTGACTAGTGCGTTTGATGAGCCCTGTGTCCGCATGAGCAGTGTTATTGACTTGAAAGCCAAGCGCTTTAGAAACAACTACTGCCTCCCGGCACCTGGAGGTTACCTGGATCAATTTCCGCTTGCGGACTTTCTGGCTTCCGTGCCATGGTCAAAGCAAACGTTTACTTGACTAGGGACGGTTTTCGGCAACAGTTGGACTGCGGTGGGAGCCGTGACCATGGCTCACAGATTCGGAGTTTGTCCACAGCACAGAAGGAGAGAATGCAATGATACTAAGTGTATCCCCTTGCAATGACAAAGTAGTCAGAGGATTGGCCTTTGGTGTTGCAGCGTCTAGTTGACCCAGGTGGTTTTCCTTTGAGTTTCCCTTAAAGCAACCTGAATGTGGGTGCCCACAAACGCAAGCCCAAGCCGGTTTGCAGGCCCAGACCTCGCGGACTTCCCGACGACTTTGGGGCCTCAGACCACCGGCGACGGCGTGAAGCTGGCGCGGGATCTGGGAGCAGCACTCGTAGCGCCTCAGCGACGTGCCCACAGCCCCGGAAGGGCGGCGTTCGTAGGTTCTAATGTCGGCCCCTGACGAATAGACCCCCCCAGTTATTTGTCAGTGGGGCCCCTTTTTCGCGAGATTTTTCAGGGTAAATGGATTTCGCCAAAGCAAGCGTTGATCAGTTTAGAGGTGGTTTCCGATGAAACGATCGCCACTGTTGGAGGGTCCAAAAAGGGAAGTGCAGGAAACCCCTTGTCAGTACGTTTAGCCTCACTACATGCGTGTGCTTCCGGGGCAGGGCGATGTTTGCTTCGAGGGGTGGAGCTTTTGCGGTGATCAGGAAGCTGAAAATCAAGTGAAGCATATGTGGGGTTCCTCGATTTTGAGGAAGTCCCAGGTAGAGGTTATAGGCGGACATTCCTGACTGGCCAGAGAAAAAGAAAATGGCTCGAAGGCAGAGGGCAGCCCCTTGGTTTGCATGTTCAGCATGTTCAGAGGTGGAAGTGCATTCCGCGAAATGCGTTTTGTGCATAGTGGCAGCCCGTTGCCAGTAGGATCAGACACAGCATAAGGAATCCTGGAGTTTGTGTATGACGTATTCAATGGGGTTATCAGATGCAAAGCGCATGCTTGTTAGATCGCTCCATCGCGGTATTCCTTGGAATGATAGACCTTGGCTCATCCAGAGACGCAGGAGCGCTTTGGCTTGAGCTTGAATTATGCCAAAATGGATTGACACAATGCTGCAGGTGGTTTATTCGAGTCTTCACAGGCTTTATCCATCCCAGCTGGTGCAGGAATGTGTCCATCCAGAGTACCAAAGTTGTCCAATCAACGTAAAGTTGTTAGATTGGACAACCTCATCAAATTTGGTGCGCCCAAGCAAACTCGTTCTGATTCAAGCGAAGCATTTACACAATTGTTAGCATGATGTGTTCATTCAGTTGCGGGCACCTTCATGCGCGTGTTATTGGTTAATGTTTCTGAACGGGCACTGCAAGCAAGCAAAACAGGACAACAGGTGCTTACCCTCAGCACTAGCATCTCTCAGCGTGTATTTGTGAGTTCAAGGACATGGATCGCGTACAGCTTCATCCCACTGGCACGAGCCCTAGAAACGGCTCGTGATGCCGGTCATTGGGGATTCTGTCGCCATGCGCTAAGCCCAGGCAACGGAAAGGATGTTTTTCCTGAAATGGCCCATCAAAGTTTCAAGCAAAAGAGAGGAGCAGGACAAGAACAAGTTGCACTTCCTGCAAGGAAATTGGAAAGCGGCTGTGAAAGCTGCCAGCGGCTGTGGAGAAAGATTGCCGGCCAATTGCAAGTAGTGCAAGAGCTGTGTCATGTTGGCATTCCAGAGCTGAACTGAATCTCCAGCCCCTTTGGGGGGACACGAAGTCATAGAGTCAGAAAGGAGGTTCGTTTGGGTATGTGTCAAACTAGGGGTTCTTTAACTAACCCAAGAAGGGTATCCTCAAAAAACGCAAAAAAGTAGGCACCCATGTAGTGTCAGCCAAGCTTATGGCAAGCGGCCCTGAGGTTTCGTGGATGTGAAGAAGCCCTTAGAGCCACTCGGATACAACGCTTTGACAGTTCTCCAGCAAACAGGTCACAGCAGGCGGCAGCTTCCAGGAACTTCCGGCTTTGAGCCCCATGCATTTTTGAGCAAACACCAGTTGCAAGCCAGAGTTCTCGTTTCAGTCCTGCCAGTCCGGAAGTTGTGGCAGGTTTCAGCGGAGATCAGAAATACTTGCGCTTGTCAGATGTCACCTTGCTCGAGTTTTCGGACTTGTGTTTCTTCCATTGCATTTGTCAAAACCCCGATTTCGCCCAATTGATTGTGGCTCGCAGGAACACAAAAACGCTTGCAGCAGAGTTGCTGCGGGGCGTGGGTGGATTGCTCCTGGATAGGCTGGCAAGGGTCAGGGGAACTGCTATCCAAGGTTCCAATTTGTGAGGGCCCCAAGGGAAACCGACTTAAACCCAAGAATCGGTTTCCTTGCTCCGAGTGCCTTTGGTTGTCACAAAATGGACCCCTGCTGTTCTCAGCTTATCCAATGGCGTGAAGCGTCGGAAGGGACATGGCCTTCAAAACATCCATGCTGGCGAATAATTGTTCTGGCGAGCCCCCATGGCATGGCGATTTACGCTCAAAACTGGGGACCCACATGTTCACAACCAGCCACATACCCACAAACTGTGATGTTATGGTTGGGTGTCAATGAAGCTTCAGTGTGCGATGCTGGTTTTTGGAGTTACTGCAATCAAGGCTGCCTCGGATGTTGATGTAAAGGCGGCGCTAGTTTGCCCAACTTGTCAACGGAGTAAATCTTTGAGATCCTTCCTGCCTTGTTGGAAAGACCTTGCAGAATCAGTACTGGTTACTCATGTTCACAAAAATGATTGCGAGTTGCCGCTTCGAAGGTTTCCGGAACCTTCCCATATGTTGATGTTCGGCATGCTAGTCTTTGGCAAAGCAAGTTGTGACAGTCCTGACATTGTGTCCGGAAGAGAGTAAGTGCAGCCAGCAATCCGCACGTGCAATTATACAATATATATATATATATGTATCTACACGTATATGTAACATTGATGAGTGTTGAAATTACCAACTGAATGATTCATTGACAATCCCCTTGTTGATCAAGTTCTATTTTAGGAAGAACCTTCACTTTTGGAGGAAAACTCCGTTTTTATCCACCATGTTTATTAATTCGGGATCGACATTGCTGAACGACCTGCAATCTGTATAGTTCAATTCCGCCTCGCGAAAACCAAGACAGGGTGTTCCTTTGTAGTAGCTTGGCAGGATTTACTTGCAGAGAGGTTTGGTAAACATGTCCTTTTTTCCGGCTTTTTGGGGAGGGACATGGAGTCGGGACTGACCGAAATTGATGTACAACAGCTAGTGGAGTTGCCTCAAGCTTTCAGATGATTTGCGTAGGGATAAAGCATCAATCCGAGACACTCACAGGAAAGGCAAAGGTTTGGCGAGGTTTGCCCATGGCTTCGGAGCTGCGACGCTCACAATCTTCTGGATTGCTCTTGCTCATCAATGATTTGGCCCTGTGAATAGAAGGTGCAAGTGACCTGCACAATGCCATGTATTCGGACTGAACGCTGTGAAAAAGTCAGAAAACGACCGTTTCTCAGAGATGGTTGTGAGACTCTATGAGGATTACATTCAGGCGTACTGGCCCTGAAGGCTTCAGGTTTTGTTGTGACGAGACGGACAGAGCTGACAAGGCTTTGTGATTTGAGCAATGGCCGATGTTGAGAACCAGGACAAAGATGCTGGCACCAGCTTTATGTTTTGTGTTCTTGCTGCATGCAATCCTGAGCTGTATGTTTTGCTGCTGGTTATGGGGCTGGCTGTTTTGCCAGGCACGGGCGGCGCTTCACAGACGAGCTGGGCACCCGTCAGGCGGTGGTGAACGCCGAGCTCAAAGCAGATGAGGCACGGGGATCAGTCAGCCGATTGCTCTTGAAAAGGTGGCCACTGCTGATGCTGGACCTCTTGTGAATTGAACTCGCATGGGTATGACTCACAAGCCAGCAACTTGGGAAGGCATGTGAGGGTATTCTGTGAGGCTGCTCTCTTACATCATGGAAGTCTAGGTTGAAGGCTTCCTTGCCACCAATCCAACCAGGTGAGCACTCAACTGGTGCAACCCTCATGCCACTGCCAGGCAGGCTTGGCTCTTCCTGCTCCTTCACCCCACCGTGTGCGAGGGCACAGATTTCTTTGGGCTGGGCGATAGGACCGATAGGATTTGACATGTTTGGCCATGGTGATGCTCAACGCTGTCTTCTGGCCGAACTGCACATGATATTCAATCTCATGGCCTGCAATGTTCAGGATGCTTGGCTGCCTAGTTGCATGTTGTTTCAGAAACTCGAAAGTGTTGCTTGCCCTTTCTTGATGTCTTGAGACAATCACTTGTTTGACCGTGTGGATTCTGCTGGAGTTCCAATCGAGTACATTGCAGTCATCGTGGGGTGGCGTCCGACTTCTGCTTATTAATAACCGATACATGTGGCATGAATTGAACACCACTGTGATGCAATGTTAGGAGTTGAGGGGTTCGCTTATCAGAAATGCCTGGTCCTGGCAAGCAAAGGATCTGCTTGACTGCCTGGCAAGGGTTGCACTTGGCCCCCCTATCCTGTTTGCGATTTTTGCCGGAGGGTCCCTTGAAAGAGAATCATCCAACCATGGCGTTCTTTTCAGCCCATGGCCACGAAGGTTTGGTTCCACAGAACCTGCCAGCCATCGTGCAAGGCCTTTGCCCTGGTTCTGTGCGGGCCTCGCTGGGAACTGGGCAACGCACAGCCTTGGGTGCCTTTTTCATGTCATGGTTCGTTCGCGCAAATGAAGTAAAAGCATAGCAGGCGTCCAGACAGCTGTATAGGAGATCCGACAGATCCGGGCCTGGGGGCTCCAGTTCGCCATCGAATGAGTCATCCTCAGACCCCCAATCTCTGGAAACTCCAAAAGGAGTGCTGTACATTGGACCCCTTTGGGCGGAGACTGGCAATACCCTCTTCAAAACGATGGTACAAGCACTGGGCCATGCTTATGTGTTTTTCTTTTAGCGTCTTAATAGTGCACAACATGTAAGCCTTCTCTAGCATGACTCTAGCATGTACACGCGTTTCTTTGTCATTGCCCGAATTCATTAGTCTCTCTGTCTCAGGAATAGCAAGGCCGCCAAAATGGCCGACAGGCACGTGACGCTCTACTCCAAGAAAGGGTCGCTTGGCTGAAGTCGCATCAGATGCAAAAGGTCCTCGCAGGCAAGAAAGAGCTTGAATTGTAGTAAGGAGCAACCTCGAAAGTGGTTAGTGGACATGACATGCATTCCCACCTACGTGATGTGCACCAAAGGTTCCCGAATTGTTTTTGGTACTCATGTGGGTGTCTTTTTTGAAGGCCTGCTCTTTTACGTGTTCAACGCAGACTACGAGGAAGCCAGCCATTTGAAGGATGCCCTATTTTTGAGAACCCAATATGCTTCTACTTGACGCTTGGCTGCCCATCTACGTGAGCAGACCTGGGCTTTCAGCCGCTGCAGCCACAAATTTCACAGCACGTGAGGTGCCCATTCAATCCAAATATGTCGCCCCCGGTCAAAACGTGCGCGATGCGGCCATTCGGAACAGCGCTGGGTCCAGTTCACACATCGAGTTTCATGCGATGTTGGCATTCGCCAATCGACGCGACTCCCAGGCTTTTGACCAAAGCCGAAGGAGTTCAGGGCCTTGCAGAACGCTTTGGCTTTAAGGCGGGTTGCCTGGCTTCACGACTTGGTTTGGGATCCGCATTGAGCTTCGCCCTTTCACATGGCGTTTTTTGTTTTTTTGTTTGTTTTTTTTTTTATATGTTTTTTCTTCGGGGACACCCCCCAAGCGGTTTCCCTTTTGGGTTCGCTTTATAACAGCAAGAAAAGGGCAGCCTTCACAAAGACAGAGCTACATGGAGCGAGTGGATTGGTTGGCCTTGCGCCAAGCTGGGCTGCAAACTCTGAACTCGCTGAATTGAGCTTTGCTGCTCACGCAGCGATTGTGTTTCCTGGAATTCAGGTTGGAGGATGTTTGCCCATTGCGAAACGGACCTCCGATAGATCAAGATCATATGTCGGAACAGTGTGAAAAGGCGTCAGAGTCTTCCCTAAACGAGTTCAAAACGGGTTCCAGCTTGCACCAAAGCACAATCGTGTGTGTGTGTGTGTAGCATCCAATCGATCCCGTTTGTTAGAACCCATTGAGGTCACGCCCAGCTGTGCATAGGTAGACGTTGTCAACGCCACGCTGATGGACTACAACGCCGCAGCGCGAGCCTGGCACATGTTGCTGGCTAAATCCAGAAACACGTGCGGAGTCGTTGTAAACGGTTCTGGAAAATATGGAGTAACGCATGTGTCTTATCTGCCCCCGACTAAATGCATGGTCTTGTAGCCCCACTTCATGATGCGCCTTTGATCCTTGTGGTGCCACAAGACTTGCCGCTAGTGTTTCTGTGATCCTGTTCTGGTGCACAGATGTGCTATGCCTTTCGTCTTGGGGTTGGTGACATGGACCTCTTAGACATTTCAGACCACGAAGGTTCCAAACTTCGGACTTTGGATGTCAGGAAGCAAGGCATCGATGCCTTTGGCCGCAAAGTCTTCCCCGAGCACTGGCCCATTGAGGCTTCGGAGGACTTCTACGTGGGTGAGGCGAGTCTCACTTTGTTGCTATGTCCCTCTCACGTGGTCCCTTGGATTCGAATCTCAAGCGACCTTTAAGTCAGCAAAGAGCTTGCGTTTCTCAACTTGGAAGGCTGCCGAGGAGAAGGTTAGGTAAGGAAGATCGATCGATCGCCAAGGGCACAAGCGACGTATTTGGGCAACGACACGTAATGACTTTGCCCAATTCGGTTGACAGTCCAGCGGCTGACCATGTCGCACGTTTCGCTGAAGCGATGATGGCCATGGTGTCCGGCACTAGTAAGCCCAGCCCACTTGGCAGTTAGGCGAAAGCAACGAAGTTCATTATCCCGTGCCCACCAAGTTGTTCCATGGGAGCTAATTCTCGACGATACTGCTTGATCAGTTGATGAACACGACTACCAACTTGTCATGCTTGTCATGCTATTGCTTGCATGCGCCCTTCCGCTCTTTTGCGGCAGCTGACTTTTTGACGGCTGTCAAATCAGGTGGTGCCAGTGATCCACTACACAATGGGTGGGATCGCCATCAACACTCATGGTTCGCGCCTTAGGCATCAACATTGCTCCACTTTGCTACCTTGGCGGCTGGTTTCTTTCAAGCGATCCAATGGTTCCATTGACACGAGCCGGATAGCTTCAAGAGCGGCTGTGCAGCTGCTTTACTCTATGCATTGAGGCCAAGTATTGGATGCACAGGGCAAGGTCATGCCAGGCCTCTACGCAGCCGGCGAGGTGGGGGTATGGGCCATGGCAGGATTGGATCTCCAAGAAATAGCCTTGACCCAGCTTGTAGCTCAATGCAGATGTAAATAAGAACATGCATGTGATCGCCCAGTCCTAGATGGTGCCAATGATATGCTGGTTGCTTGCAGGCTAGAACAGATCGGGCACTTTTTTTGGCTGGCTCTCAGAGTATGCCACGCACTTTCAGACATTAGACGCAGTTGACTGGCCAGGCGTAAGACAGTCACAGACGTGCCACCTCAGTTTCTTGCCACCAGCTTCGAGGCAACAACTAAAGTGGCGTCTACACCACAAGTTCATCAACATGCTTGTCATTGTTTTTTTTTTCGCCATTGAGGCAGTCAGACACCAAGACAACCACAGATGATACAATACGCAGAGATTTCTACATCTGTTCCAGGCCAAGGGATTCATCGAAAATTCAGAAACTTGACAGGCCAGCGGAGGAGTGCACGGTGACAACCGACTGGCTGGAAACTCCCTTTTGGAGTGCAACTCGGCACCATTTTGCAGCCCGAATCATTTGTTTTGCAGTGATTCTTGTCTTGGTTTTGCTTTAAAGTGACATTGGGTGTGACAGAATACCAATGTGCTTGCCAGGAAGCCTTTGGGGAACGCAAGCTCCTAAGGGCGAGAGTGAAGGTAGAAAGATATCAGACCAGGGCAAGATCAAGCACCTGGGGGGGGCTCACTGCAACCGGATCCACTTGGCGCAAGCTAGGTTGATGCTTATCGCTAGACAATTGATTTGCGACTGGAGCAGATACAACAGATGTACAGAACTACGGATGCTCCGCCATTTTCCGCTTCGCTTTGTCACCATTTGTTTGCTCCATGTGATTCAGGACACATTCCGTTCGGACGTTTGGGGGAACTCAAGCTTCGATCCGTTCTTGCTTCTGCATGTTGTTTTCCGCTTGTTGAAGGGTCAGGTGAGGGCTTCCGCTTGTTGAAGGGTCAGGCGAGGGCTGTCCCGGGGTTTAGCTTTAGAAGCTGCGCTTATCTTTGGGGTGGGTTAGGGTCGGAAATTTCTTAGGCACCGTCTTCGGGCGCCGCATCGGCATGAACCTGCCCATCCGGCAAGGCCGGGACATAGGATGAGATTGGGATATGTCAGACTCAGGTGGCGCTTGTCTTTTCTCTCTGGCCTTTTTTGTCTTCATTTTGTCTTCAATCAGCAAAAAGATAGCTCGTTATTGTCAGGCTGCCCCAAAGTAGAGAGTAGATGTTATGGGACCTTTGTGGACGGCACGGCGCGCCTCAGTCAAGCAGGTCGATGCATTGCTTGATATAATTGGATTCGGCAAAACATGTTTTGATTCCACAAGCCAATCACAATCGACTGAGCAAAAATGCGATCTTGAAACTGATCGGCCTTTCTTGCATCAGTTGCGAGACTTGTGAGAGTAGAGATGTCAAGACCTTGACGCGATCCAACGAGGCTTTCCGCCACTTTGTGCCAGCAGTGTCCCGGGCGTACATTTCTAACATGTATTCTTCAAAGCGAGGTTCAGCTTGGATGAACCCGTAACTCTTGGATTCAACCTAGGCGATCCCAGGACATTGATCTTTGTAAGGGTGGTTCCCTTGGTTACTGTGGATCCACTGGGCAAGACATGCAAGAGTGTCAACGCAAGCACACACACACACACAC